TAAAGTTAACTTTTCTTCTGATAAATATATTCATAGAAGATAAAGAAGAGAAAGAAATGAAGAATTAATAATTCTTATATCTCTGAGTTTATATTATAATCACAATGTATACTCTGAATAAGAAGATATCAGTGAGATATCTACTTAACTCTGAGATAAATACTAACTTTATATTCTATTTCTTTTCTTTGATGAAGAGTTGAAAGAAGATAGATCTATCAGATCATGTAAAATTTACTGATGAAATGAAATATCACTATTTTAATATAATTCAAGTGAAGTGTGTGATCACAGACTTAGAAGAAATCTTTAAGAAGAGCAGTCTGCTTCTTCATACAGTTAATATCATAGATAAGAATATCATTCTAGATCTTCTATAATTGAGAGAAAATAATTCTCTCATTGACTGAGTTACTCAGATGTGACAGTACTACTTTACTGATGAAGAGATAGTAATAGAAAAATCTGAAGAGTTTCATTGAAAGAATCTTGAGAAAAAGATAGATTTAATATACTGTATAATAGATGATTGAGACTTAAAAATAGATGAAGAAGTTATCATTCTCACTGTAAGATTAGCAGCAGTATTCATCATTGAAGATGAATATATATAATATCTCTTTACAGATTATAACAATGTCTTTTCAGAAAGAGAAGCAGTGAAGTTTTCTGACATCAAGATATAATATAAGATTCATTTTGAAGATAATGTAATAATACTGTATAAGTCTCTTTATAACTTATCTGTAAAGAAATTGAATGTTCTGTATAAATATCTTGAAGAAGCATAATTAAAGAACTGAATATACTTATTAAAGAGTCTGACAGAGACATCTACACTCTTTGTACTTAAGAAGAATAATAGACTACATCTATGTATAGACTACAGAGGTCTTAATAAGATAACAGTTAAGAATTACTATTTATTACTGTTAATTAATAAGATGATCAATCAATTATCTGAAGTAAAGATATTCTCAAAGATTGATATACAGAATATCTATTATAGAATCAGAGTTAATGAAGATAATGTTTGAAAAACAGCTTTTCATATTAAGTACAGTAATTTTGAATATCTTGTTTTATCTTTAAATCTTTATAACACTTCAGTCATCTTTCAAATCTATATAAATAAGACACTGCAGAGTCTTATTAACATCTTCTGCATAGTATATCTGAATAACACTCTAATCTTCTTAAAATCAGAGAAAGAATATGATACTCATGTTTGAGAAGTATTGAGTTACTTAAGACAGTATAAACTCTATACAAACACTGAAAAATGCTCATTCTACATGCAGAAGATTGATTTCTTAGATTATATTATTAAGATAAATGACATTTCAATGAATAGAAGTCAGATCTTTATCATTGAGAACTGATCAGCACTGCAGATGTACTGTGAGATGCAGATGTTTCTAGAATTTATAAATTTCTACAGATAATTCATCTATACATATTCACAGATTACTGTCTCTCTTACAGATCTGTTAAAGAGAAGTGTGAAAGATAGAAAAATAAAACTATTTATTCTCACTTAAGATACTATGCAGATGTTTACAGAATTGAAATAAGCTTTTACAGATATTACAATACTGAATCACTTTAATTCTAACTTACTCAGTCAGTATGAGACTGATGTATTCAGAAATGAAATCTGTGAAATCTTTTCACAGTTGACACTGAAGATCTTTCAATATTAAAAGAATCAGAGAATAATCACTTCTGAGAAAATAGATAATGAATTGTCTATAAGAGAAGACTTTTTCACAGAGTCTATAAGACATTATAAATAAAGATCAGTGATCTTCTTCTTTAAGAAGTTATCACTCACATAGAGAAGGTATAATACTCATGATTAGAAGATATTAGTAATTATTGAATTCTTTAAAATCTGATAATATTATCTTCAGAGTAGTAAGTATTCAGTGTAAGTTCTCACTGATTATACAAATCTGTATTACTTCTTGATAACAAAGAGCTTGATAGAATGTTAAGTCAGATGAGCAGAGCTGCTTTTAAAGTATGATTTCTATATTCAATATTATTCAGATCAGCTTAATCTCACTGATATACTGTTTAAACAGTCTGATTATAATATTATTGATACAGAGAAGAATTCTATAAAAGAACCTCTGTCATCACTGTAAAAGAAGCTAGCTGCAGAGAGTTAGAGTTCTCTGAAGCTTGAGAACAGTATTAGTAAGACAGCTGCATGACTCAGTATAGAAGATGAAAGAATACTCAGGTCTCTGTAGAGAACTGATACTGAAGATCATGAGCTTCTTATATTATATCTTACAATTATTAAATTATTAAAGAATGAAATAGTCTATAATCTTTCAACTCAACTACTTTTGAAATTCATTAATAAATTACAGAAGAAGAACATCTCTACTGCAGCTTGAATTCAGAAGTTGAAGAAGAAAGAATTCAGTTTAAACTTGAAAGAGACAGACTCTGAGCAGAGCAGTGCTGCTAAGAAATCAAGTCACTGATAACTAGAAGAATGTGAACTTCTACTGCTGAATAATTCAGTCTTCATTTCTTATAGTAGAGCAGTGTGTCAGAAGTTATTGAGAATTCATTATAATGATTTTCATGCAGAGCACTTCAGATTAGAGAAGATTGAGAAGCTTTTAAAATATAAATACATTTGAGACAAGCTCTGAGCAGATGTCAAAGAGTATATTAAGACTTACAATGTCTATCAAAGAATAAAGATCTTATAGTATAAGTAATACAGTAAGTTAGCATTACTGTCTGTTTTAAAGAACTTATGACAGAATTTATCAATGAATTTCATAGTTGATCTGCTGAAGTCAACAAGAGTTAAAGAATATAACTTAATTTTGCTCATTATTAATCACTTCATGAAGATAATTAGATATATCTCTACTTATAAAAAGATTAAAGCCTGTGAATTGACTGACCTGTTTTTAGATATTATTATTCATAATCACAGTGCTTTAAAATTGTTAATAATAGATTGAGAATTTCTCTTCATCAGTAAATACTGATCAGCTTTTTACTATTATCTTATGATAAGATATCTCCTCAGTACTGCATTTCATCTGCAGATAGATGATCAGACTGAATGTCAGAATCAGACACTAGAACAGCATTTTTAAGTGTTCTATTTATATTATCAGAATGATTAGCTCAAACATCTTCTGACTGCTGAATTTATATATAATAATACAAAGAATGCAACTTTAAAAATATCTTCTTTCTATGCTTATTATAAATATAATTCTTTGTTACTCAGTAATGTCATGAACAATATTTTAAAGAGAGAAATAAACAGTCAGAATGTTGAACAGATACAGAGAATAGAGTATTTCTCAGTATCAGAAGTAAAAGTGAGATTGAAACTTTTAAATAAAATTCATAAGAAGATGATGAAAAGTATTCACTGCACTCAGAAGTGATAGATAAAATACTATAATTAAAAACATCTTTCAATGAAGTTCTTGATAGAGAATCAAGTACTACTTTCAGTAAAAAATATTAAGACAATGAGACTGTGTAAGAAGCTCAGTAAGTGATGACTAGAATCTTTTCTAATAATAAGAGTGATGAGTAAGCAGATATATAAGTTGAAATTACTCACAGAATTGAAATCAATTTATTCTGTTTTTCACATTTTCTATTTGAAGCTCTATAAGTAACATCTCAGAGTAAAGCTGTCTCAGCTGAATAACATTGAGATTGAGAGTGATACTGAATATCTTGTAAAGAAAATATTAAATAAGTGAATATATTACAGTAAGCTTTAATATCTTATGAAATGAAAAGATTATTCATTGTCAGAGAATTCATGAGAACTGCTTGAGTATTTGAAAAATGCTGAGAAAGAGATTACAAGTTATAAGACAGCTAGTAGAGACTGCTCTGTTATACATCAGAGATATTAAGTAAGAAATACTGCTTAAGACTTCTTATTTTTCTCAAAGAGTATTTTTAGAGATGATCTCACAGTGATAAGCTGACATCTTATAAACTCTATAACACTCTTCTTCTATTTTCTCTTAAAGAATTTTTTAGAAGTTTAATAAGACTATACAAGTGTAAAATTTCTGAAGCAGTTAATAAGAAAAGAAAGAAATATTTAAAATTAATAAAAAAGATTAATATTATCAATCTACAGGCTGCTGCTATTCTAATGAGGTCACAGCCTGCTGAAAAAGTAAAAAGAGAGAATTTCAGAGTCTACTCATCAATAATCATACTCTTATTAAACTCATTCTCTATCATTGATGTCTTCAGCACTGATATCTTTATCTGTTAAGAAGTTAACACTGTGATACTGCAGAGAAGCATGCTGTAAAAGAGCATGAGAAATACTTAAAGTATCAACTTATCAATTTATAAAGCATCTCAGTTATCTGCTTTAATTAAAGTAAGATTCTCTTCAATCAGTGATTAATCTCTGTAATACTTTCAACAGCAGTATTAGCTGATCTCTTCTTAGAATCAGTCATTCTGAGATGTTTTTTCATCTCAAAGACTCATACTTTCATCTTCTTTTACAGATGAGCAAGAGAAATCTTCTCAGTCTTAATAAAATTTATCAACACTTAAAGCTCTGAGACTCTCACTCTGTACTGCTTGAGTATCTGAGCTTCTTATCAGAGTCAACATGACATCTTCTTATAGAGTAGATAATACTTACAGAGAGACAGAAGTTATTGTTACAGATATAATAAAAATAACAGAAGTGAGAGAAGAGATAAATGTATAAGATTCTCTTCTTCTTCAGCTGCTTAACACAGTGTAGATAAATAGCAGTGCTGATCAGAGACTGCACTGAAGCCTTCTTATAGAGAGAAGATAAAGAAACTGCAGAACTCTGCAGACTCAACTTAGCAGTATTTCAAGCAGAGCTCAGATATGCTGTAAGAGAAAAACTACAGATTAAGCTTTTTAAAGTCACTGTTCTCAGAATCAAGCTCTTTCTGAGTTTCTCTCTGAATAATTACACAGGGTTATATACCATCATGTTGACTGAGAGAGAAGGTGATATCACAATGATGATGAGAGAAACAGAGAAAGAACTGAATACAGACAAATTAATCAGTAGAAGAGATAATATCTCACTGCAAGATACAGTGACTATCACTGCAGTTATAAGAGAAGTAGAAGAAGAAGAAGAAGAAGAAGAAGATATGACAATGAGAGCAGCGCTTCTGCAGTCTGTTGACACTGCTATCTCTGTCTTCAATCAAGCTTTCTTAACAGCTACAGAGATCACAGCTGCACTATGAAGACATTTACTCATTAGAAAATGTCAGAATAAGTTCTTTATTATTCTTCAAGAACAATACTCTTATACACTCACTATTACAATTGAGAGAAGAGAAAGAAAAATGTTTCATAGAGAAGAAAGAATCTTTTTAAAAAATTCTATCACTACTGTTAGCTTTATCTCTAAAACACATTACTTTTGCAGAGAATTTTATATATAGAATGAAATATAATGAGAGATCTGTAAGTCACTTGTTAACTATATTTTTCACATTTCAAATTAATATATAAGAAACTCACTTATCATATATTTAATTTAAATAAAGATGAGAAAAGAAAGATCTACACAGTCAGCAGAAAAACTCATCTATTTCTTTATATTATATACAGCACATACACTGTTAAATCAGTTGATAATTATTGCTATATAACAAAGATAATTTCTAATCTGATAATCTTGAGAATATCAGAACTATACTCTTAAAGAGAAGAGTATTATTATACTCTCAGCTGTATCAAGATTCTGCTGCAGTTTCACACAGCTTATTGCTTTCATATGAATAATTTTATCTCATCTGAACTGGTTTTCAATCACTCTATAATATCATTTAAATATATTATAGAAAGATCTGATTGATGAATATGAGAATCTCACTTCTATATAAGATCAGCAGATTACTCTTTCTTAATAGTGTCACGCTCCCGGCCGCGCCAAGGCCCCGTTGCGGTTCCACACGGCTCATCACTTCCATGCGGATGATTTCATTCTGTCTGAACCGGTTTCCAACCACTCTATGACATCATTCAAATATATCATAGAAAGATCGGATTGATGAATATAAAAACCTCACTTCTATATGAGGTCAGCAGATTACTCTTCCTTGGCAATGAGATGTCACTGAGGTATCACTTCAGCTATTCTCACTCATGAAATAAGAGGAGAGTATTCACTCATTATCTATATAGAATAGCTAGATGCTGGCTTCTTATCAAAGAAGTCAGTGATTTGTTTTTCTTCTACTGAAATATATACAAGAGTTACTGCATGTCTTATACAATCTTCTTAGTATACTAAGTATCATATCTGTGATATTCTCATAATAACTCTGTAGTCTATAAGCTTATTATTCAAGTAAGATAGTTAAGCTCACTTATACAGCTTCTTAAATAATTATCTCTATATAATACTGTTAACTAGTCATTACTTCAGTTCTATCATGTTACAATTTGAATCACTCAATCTGATTATAAGTTTAAATCAGTTAAGCTCTAACAGACTGATATAATCTCATACACTCATACTGAGACTGATCTAACTTCACTCTCTGAGAGAAACATCACATCATTTTCTAGAGTGTGTACACCTTTATCTCAGCAGAAATCTGAGATTTCTGAAATCACTGCACATTTTGACATGAGCTCTTCAACTGCTCTATCACTGTCACAGCCTCTACACATCTACATCTATTATGAAGATAGAGAGATTAAGATCAGAGATTCTTCAAGATATAAGAGAAATATATTGTCTGAATTTCACAGCTTTATCTGTACTCTGAAATCAAAATTCCATCTTAATCTGAGCTAGTATAATACTCATGAGATATAAGTAATATATGCTATCAACTTTCTTGAAGGCATCTCTGCAACTACTTGAACTATTAAGAAGAGAGAGCTTAAGTATATCAATACTATCATGACTTGAAAAGAATTCAAGAACTTTCTACTGAATCAAATCAAAGATCACTATAACTGTGACTTTACAGTGATACAGCAGTTCAACTTATTACATTAATAAGATGATGAGAATTCTTCTGATTTCAATGTAAGATTTGAAGAATATTGAGAGAAATTAATCAATGATTTGAATCAATTAAAAACACAGCTTTATCTTATAAAGCTAACTCACAAGATGCAGACAATAATATCACAATATCAGAGTTTATTAATCAATTACACTGAGCTTGTTAATCTGGCTTTCTGAATCTATTTGAATAATCAATTCTCTGAGAAAAAGGCTAATAAGACTTCTTCTAAGTAATTAATAACAGAATCTAAACAGTGTTATAACAGCTTTAGTGCAGAGAAAGTAAAGAAGAATTTCAAGTATTCTAATTCTTCACTCACTGCAAAGAAATGCTAAAAAAGATTTGATAAAGATCTCTATTTCAACTGCAGAGCTGATGATCACTATATCAGTGATTATAAGAAGTCAAAGAAGAAAAGAAATTAAGAAGATATCTTCTCAAAGTTGACTTCTCTTCTGACAAACATATCTGTAGAAGATAAAGAAGAGAAAGAAATAAAGAATTGATAATTCTTATATCTTTAAGTTCATGTTATGATTACAATGTATGCTCTGAATAAGAAGATATCAGTGAGATATCTACTTAACTTCAGAGTGAATGCTAACTTCATATTCTATTCTTTTTCTTTGATAAAGAGTTAAAAGAAGATAGATCTGTCAGATCATATAAAATTTACTGATGAAATGAAATGTCACTGTTTTAGCATAATTTAAGCAAAGTGTGTGACTACAGACTCAGAAGAAATCTTCAAGAAGAGCAGTCTGCTCCTTCATACAGTCAATATCATAGATGAGAATGTCATTCTAGATCTTTCATAATTGAGAGAAAACAATTCTCTCATTAACTGAGTTATTCAGATGTGATGATATCATCTCACTAATAAAGAGACAGTAATAGAGAAATCTGAAGAGTTTCATCAGAAGAATCTTGAGAAAAAGATAGAGTTGATATACTGTGTAACAGATGACTGAGACTTGAGAATAGATGAAGAAGTTATCACTCTCACTGCAAGATTAGCAGCAGTATTCATTATTGAAGATGAATGTATATGATATCTTTTTACAGATTTTAAGAATGTCTTTTTAGAAAGAGAAGCAGTGAAGTTTTCTGATATCAAGATATGATATAAGATTTATCTTGAAGATGATGTAACAGTGCTGTATGAGCCTCTTTACAACTTATCTGCAAAGGAATTGAATGTTCTGCACAAATATCTTGAAGAAGCACAATTAAAGAACTGAATACACTTATCAAAGAGTTCAGCAGAGATGTCTATACTCTTTATACTTAAGAAGAATGATAGACTATGTCTATACATAGACTACAGAGATCTTAATAAGATGATAATTAAGAATTGATATTCATTACTGTTAATTAATGAGATGATTGATTGATTATCTGAAGCAAAGGTTTTCTAAAAGATTGATATACAGAATATCTATCATAGAATCAGAGTTAACAAAGACAATGTTTGAAAAATGACTTTTTGTACTAAGTACAGCAATTTTGAATATCTTGTTTTATCTTTTGATCTTTGTAATACTTCAGTCATTTTTCAGATCTATATAAATAAGACACTGTGAGACCTTGTCAATGTCTTCTGCATAGTATATCTGAACAACATTCTAATCTTCTTGAAATCAGAGAAAGAATATGATACTCATGTTTGAGAAGTGTTGAGTTACTTAAAACAGTATTAACTCTATGTAAACACTGAAAAATGCTCATTCTACATGCAGGAGATTGATTTCTTAGATTATATTATTGAGATAAATGACATTTCAATAAATAGAAGCTGAATCTCTGTCATTGAGAACTGGCCAGCACTGCAGATATACTGTGAGATGCAGGTGTTTCTAGAATTTACAAATTTCTACAGATAATTCATCTATGCATATTCACAGATTACTGCCCCTCTTACAGATCTGTTAAAGAGAAGTGTGAAAGACAGAAAAACAGAATCATTTACTCTTACTCAAGACACTGTGCAGGTATTTGCAGAATTGAAACAAGCTTTTACAGATATCATAATACTGAATCACTTTAACTCTGACTTACTCAGTCAGTATGAGACTGATACATCTGAGAATGAGATCTATAAAATCTTTTCACAGTTGATATCAGAGATCTTTCAATATTGAAAGAATCAGAGAATAATCATCTCTGAGAAAACAGATAATGAATTATCTGTGAGAGAAGACTTTTTCACAGAGTCTATAAGACATTATAAATGAAGATCAGTGATCTTCTTCTTCAAGAAGTTATTACTCATGCAGAGAAGATATGATACTTATAATTAGAAGATATTAGTAATTATCAAATTCTTTAAGATCTGATAATATTATCTTCAGAATAGTAAGTACTCAGTGTAAGTTCTCACTGATTATACAAATCTGTGTTACTTCTTAATAACAAAGAGCTTGACAGAATGTCAAGCCAGGTGAGTGAAGCTGCTTTCAGAGTATGATTTCTATATTTAATACTGTTCAGATCAGCTTAACTCTGCTGATACATTATCTAAATAGCTCAATTATAATATTGTTAATACAGAGAAGAATTCTATAAAAGAATCTCTATTATCACTGTAGAAGAAGCTGACTGCAGAGAGTTAAGATTCTCTGAAGCTCAGAAATGATGCTGATAAGACAGCTGTGTGACTCAGTATAAAAGATGAAAGAAAACCTGAATTCTCACAGAGAACTGATACTGAAGATCATGAGCTTCTTATGTTATATCTTACAATTATTGAATTGATAAAGTATGAAATGATCTACAATCTTTTAATCTGACTACTTTTGAAATTCATTGATAAGTTACAGAAGAGAGAAAGAATTCAGTTTGAACTTGAAAGAGACAGACTCTGAGCAGAATAATACTGCTAAGAAATCAAGTCACTGATAACTAGAAGAATATAAACTTCTACTACTGAATAATTCAGTCTTCATCTCTCATAGCAGAGTGATGTATCAGAAGTTATTAAGAATTCATTATAATAATTCTCATACAGAGCACTTCAGATTAGAGAAGACTGAGAAGCTTCTAAAATATAAATATATTTAAGACAGACTTCAGACAGATGTCAAAGAGTATATTAAGACTTATAATATCTGTCAAAGAATAAAGATCTCACAGTATAAGTAATACAGTGAGTTAATATCACTGTCTATTTCAAAGAGCTTATAACAGAATCTATCAATGAATTTCATAGTTAATCT